TGTGCTAACTCCTTAAATGTGTATTAAGTGCAGAAATTTTTAATAAATGTTTTAATAAATGCTTAATTTAAAACGTTTAAATTTTTAATAAATGCATAATTTAAAACCCTTCATATTAAAGGTCTTGTGTTTGTGAATTCATTATTTTATGTTCATTATATGTTCATTATATGTTCATTCTCTGCAGATACAATCTCCGAAGGCATGAGACTTTTGAAAATAGCTAAAACGGCGTTGAGACGTAACATAGTGCACAATATTTATAATCAGTCTGAAAAAGTAAAATTTGTTTTTGAAGCTGGACTAATGTAGATTTGGAACAAAGAAACAGAGTACATGTTTTAAATTGCATAATATTGCTTTATGAATATTGCCGATTTTTATTGTATAACATCTTTTGTACCTTTGTATAAAAATACTGTTTGTCAGAAAAATGCACGTGTATTAAATTCAGTGACAATACTGAATGCACTTTTTTCTTTCATCTATGGTATGGTAACAGAACATTAGAAATGACATGGACATCACCATGGAAGTAATATAACATTTGCAAAGGAAATATTTTCTGCAATGTGAAAGGAACAGTATTCAACAAAATTGCAATAATAATAATATACTTACTAGCACACAATGTCTTTACAGTTGGATCGAGTTCTTTGTGTTTTGGTTTTTGCACTAAGTTCATGAACTCAGCTATTTATATAATCTAAGTGCTTAAGATTGCTTCTGATATTAACAGCATCTTTGATAGATTTCATTATTCCATGAAACAAGAACCCATCTGCAGAACGATTCAGCTTTTTTTCCCTCCCTCCCCGTTTAAAAAAAAACAATCAATAATTTTCTCGATTTAGTGTCACTTATGAGCGTCATTCCATGAAAACAAAACCGTACGAATCTCACCTAAACGTCATTACGGCAAGAGAAAATGATGCATCGGAAAGTATGTCCAATCACAAGCATGGGTTTTTCCCCATGCACATGGCTCGGCACGGAACGCTCATATGCGTCCCAGTTATCAGTCAACTAATGGATGACGAAACCTGGTTTTAAATCCAAAAATAGGTCCTAAATCCAGAAAATTTATCTCCTGATAATCAAAAATTTAACAGAAAGGTGTTGATAAACAAAGAAATTTTGATTGACAATTTAGTGGGAACTCTGAACATGGCAATTACAGGCTTTGAACAATGAATCTTTATAACTGAACACGAAATTATGTCTATTTATAGAATTAAGAGAAAGTATTTGCACAAAATTAAAAAAATATGTATATAAATATAAATAAAAATAAAAACTTACAGGGAAAGAAATGTTTAATAAAACAAGCAGATAAATATTGAGCTTTTTTTTGTAAATTTTGATTTCCTTAATGTCATAAATGCTTCATTATTTCATAAACCAATGCATCATATTTTTAATTTTTATAATATCTACTTGCTATCTTACTAGATTGAAACTGATGATTAATATCTAAAAAAATTCCAAATCCAGAATCACCAAAATTTGGATCTTAGACTTTGTATATATCATACCTGCCAACTTTTATGAATTTTTTGTAATTTTTACGATTTTACGATCGTAATCCATTTTTTACGATTTTTTTTCCTTTTTCAAGTGTTTTTAGTGATTTTTGATCGAAATTTTAGAATTTTTCGCCAATTCAGTGATTTTCGCCAATTGCATCGTGTTTTACCGCCAACTACCGACTACTTCGAATCCAGTAACCTGTGGTTTCTCCCAACTCGCCGCTTAACCAGCCAATACAATGCGCTGAACTTGTTTCTCCTACACTTTTCTTTGTGAGCGCCAGATTATTTTTTTCGCGTTTGCTTCAGCAGCAAGGGAATTACTCAGCTCGGACTGAGCGAGCGTGGATTGTCGGATTATGTTTTTTTTTTTTTTGGCTTGCTCGTGCTACGAATTTTCTTAATACGTCGTTGTTACGAAATGAGTTAAAAAAATCCGTATTCTCAATAGTTTCGGCCTGCCTACAAAGCCGAATTTCCAACAATTAAAGAATCCTTCAAAGAAAATAACTATGCATTTTGCAACGTGTGCGTGTGTAACTTCATAATAAGTCACGGTGGAAGAAGCGACATTGTGAAGCATGTTCAGTCTAAAAAGCATGAAGTTAATGCTTCTGCTTCGACAACGTCAAAGAAAGTGGATGATTTTTTTTCAAATTCGGCTACGAATTCGGATGCCGATGTCATTTCAGCAGAGTGTTTGTTTACTGCATTCCTCATCGAACACAACGTGCCGCTAAGTGCTGCCGATCATGCCGGTCAACTTTTCAGACGGATGTTTCCCGACTCCAAGATTGCTCAGAAATATGCTTGTGCTCGCACGAAACATCTTCTACTGTGAACGAAATTGCTTGCGATGGACAAAGCAAAATGATAGCTGCACTCCAGAATTCAGCATTTTCGGTGTCAATCGATGGCAGCAACGACAGCGATTGGAAGCTTTACCCCATCGTTGTCACATATTTCTGTGATGTTTCTAATGAAATGAAAACTCATCTTTTGCGTCTTCCATTGTTAAATAGAGACGCTACGGGGGAAAATATTGCCTCCTTGGTAATTAATGAGTTGAAACAACTTAACATCCCAATATCAAACTGCATTTCATTTGGTGCAGATAATGCTCATGTCATGGTGGGCGACAGAAAGGGTGTAGCCTCTTTCCTCAAAAAAGAACAAAATGAATTAATTGTTAATGGATGCCCATGCCACTTAATTAATTTGGCAGCAGAAAAAGCTGCAGCTGCTTTACCATTAAATATTGACCAGCTTCTGATTGATGTGTTTTTCTATCTGGAAAAAAGTGTGAAAAGGAAGGAAAACCTAAAGAATATCCAGGAGTGTGCTCTGGTGAAACGAGAAAAATTCTGAAACATGTATGCACGAGATGGTTATCCTTAGGCAGATTGCTAGGAAGGTTTATTGAACAGTGGGATGCATAGCTAAAATATTTCCACGATGAGACCAAAACGAAACCACAGATCCCATCAAATTTGTCAGTATATAAGATTCCGAAAACCAACTTTGCTTCTAATCAAAATGCTTTAAAAGGGAAAAGCCAACACACAGAATCAAACCCTTTAAAAAGAAAATGCTTAGAAGACTCCTCAAAGGTCAACTTTGTTAAAGAAGTTGAAGGGAAGAAGAAACAGTCTTCTATTAGCCGGGAGGAAAGGATTTTCTATCTTCTTTCTTCGGATTTGAACAAAGCATATTGTAGTTTTGTGTTAAGTACCATTAAGATTTTTGAAAGTGTAAATACCCTTCTACAATCAGCTTTGCCAAAATCTCCCCTGCTTATCCAAATTCTTAATGATCTTTTGAAAGAACTTTATACTAAGTTTGTAAAACCGTCCATTGTGAAAAACAGTGTGTTGATTTGTGTTGCCTATAATAGTTTGGCAAATCAAAAGGATGACAATGATCTTATAATTGGAAATCAAACCAGGGAACTTATAAATTCTTTGAAAGATCATGAGAAAAAAAAAAAAAAAATTTCAATGTGTTAGAAAGTACTTTTCCTCAGCCTGTGATTACATTGTAAGGAAGTTTCCTTTGCAAAAGGAAGTTTTTTTAAATGCTGAAGTGGCAAATTTGAAACAAATTGAAAATTCATCTTTTGTAAAGGTTCATTTTTTATTGATAAATTTCCATTTTTGTTAACAATTAAAGAAAATGAATGCCATAATGATGCTTTAAATGAACTAGAGAACCAATTTTCTGCTGCACAGTTTGAAGACTTTGCCAGTTCTGGAGAAGATAGACTTGATGTCCTCGTTGGTACCTTAAAAAGAATAAAAAGAGCTGATGGAACACCAAAATATGATAGACTAGCAAGAGTTTTATGTGCTATTCTCGTAATTCCACACAGTAATGCTGAGTGCGAGAGAGTCTTCAGTGTTGTGAAGAAAAACAAAACTATGTTTCGTTCTTCAATTTCACCAAAAACTCTAGAAAACATTTTAATTGCTAAATGTTAAGAGGAAACTAATTGTTGTGACAGGAAATTTTCCAAAGAATTTTTGGCTAAAGCCAAAAAATGCACTCTAAATTCATTGCAATAATTTTGTGTAACATTAAGTTCTTGTTTTATGTTTCCTAATAAATTTTTTAGTTACTACTTAATTGAGATTTACTAATGTAAGTACAATTTTTTTTTCTATATGTATAAATTGTTATTTTTTTAATATCAAAGCATGATATTAATTCTTCGTGTTCTTCTGAATTTGGGGGAGAAATCTTCTGAAATTTTATCTTTAGAGGTTGGCAGGTATGATATATAAATAAAAAACTGCAACTTGAGTTTCATTTTCTCAATATAATTCAGCAAAATAATTTATGAGTAACAAATGAAATTTTTTGTATTTTCACAGTATCCTTTCAAATAAAAAACAAATTAGAGGGAAGAGAGTTATTTCAAAAGTTAACATAGATAAACACTAACTATAGAAAATTTAATTTTCATTCCAGGAAATTTAAAAGTGTGGCACTTTGAATTACTACACTGTGGTGATTCAGATCTACTGAAATTTCAAATTCCTTCCCCTCCCCCAATTTCTCTGTCAATAAGAGTAATCTTTCCAAGATTTTGAGTTAAAATCTGTAACATTCTTTTCATTTTCGATCTGGAAGATATGAATGACTTAAAAAAAAAGTTTGAGATACATACATTCCCAATTCCACATGCACTTTTTAATATTTTGATGCTTACCTATTTATACCATTTCATGCTCAAAAGAGAAATGAAAAAATAAGTACATATTGGAGCTTTAAAAACCGAAACTATTACTTATATTTTTTGCACTGAGTTTTAATTTTTCTGAATTTTAACAACTTGCTTTCATCTGTTGCAAAAAGAGACATTAATTTTTTTAATGGTAAAAACCCTTGCTGATACTGAATTTTTACACAAACTATTTTTATTCAGATCTTTATAAACTCCTTTTTTTTTTTTTTTTTTTTTTTTTTTTGTAGGAGCATTTTTTCTTCAGCGCCTTGTTCAAAAATTGCATAAGTTATTTCAGTGCTCAGGGAACTATGGAGAAGACCAGGAATCTAATAATATTTTGTTATTTTTGTCTCATCTTTATAATTTCAAGGTATATTCATTTAGACTTCTATTATAGTACTATTGTTAATGTTATGTATTATTTTTTATATAAGCTTTCATTTTCTATATAAATAGGTAGTCATCCAGTATAAAGATGTTTGCATCTGTATTTTGTTAAAAGATGTTAGCACATTTTATAAAATTGTTTCATTAGTATGTAATTATTAATATTATTATATTATGTATTAGTATAATCGATTATTATATTAGTATAATCGATAATTATAATATTATGTATTAGTATAATCGATACTTTCTGACTGTCTGCACACCTTTCTGGAAAAGTCACCAACCATTGATGACTAATTTTTGCCAAGCAAAGACCCAAAAGATAACAGCCATTTTCAAAAATGCAGGCGCACTAACAATTATATAAAACAGCAACTAATTAACAAAATTTGAAATGCAAGAAGTATCCATAATAAGGTACTCTTCTCCTTCTCCCATTCTCCCCATATACACAGAAATATGTTTTATTTAAAAATAAGGTCACTAAATTTCAGAATCACCGATTCACTTTGCATCACACAAACTTGGCATTGTGCACACTTTCGGTTCTCTTTGTGAACATAGCCATCTGTTTTGGCTTCAAAAATGATAAATACACAAATTTGGTATCACTGCACAAATTTTGATCCATAAAATTTGATTGCTTAGGAAATTTTAGCTTCATAGAATGTGAATTTTTGCATTCTCTACTGTTAGGTGTGTTGCTGATGATAGTAGATAACCTGAAATGTTATGGTGCACCAAATGCGTATTATGTATGTAAAAATGTAAGTACCACATATTAGTTTAAAACAAAATAGACTTATAAAATTGAATGAAAAAATATAATGATGAATGCTGAAATGAAAAATGTGCATGAAACTAAGATAATGATTTGAAATGTAAGAATACAAAACATGAAATACAATAAAATACATAAGTGTTACCAATACCAAGAAACTGCATTAAAATGAAATCAAACTAAATAATAAAGTAATTTAGGTACTGAAATAAATTGGTGTTGACCACTTTCCCCGTTATATGATAAAGAGACAAATCACAGTCACTAAAATACTTCTATCTATGCCTGTTAAGATAAGGACACTCTATTAAAATGTGACGCATTGACAGAAATTGCATTATAGTTGGGACAAAGAGCTTCACTCTTCTCTTTCAGCAGTTAACTGTGAGTAACTCTGAAGTGAGTGTTTCAAAAGTGGGTTAACAGGACTTGCTCCCCCCTGGTTTCTGGTAGCCACCCAGTATTTGACTAAAGGCTTTGTGCTTTTTAATTTATTGTTAAACTGAACATCTCAGAGTTGCTGCCATTTATTTAAGATTTTTTGTTTGATGAGCCTGCTGATATCATCAAAAGGGACAAACTGACTGGACAGAATCAACTGTAGTCTTTGCTATGGCATCATGCCTACATGTCTGGGTATCCAGCAGTAATGGATTTTGTACCCACAGCTCCTTAATTTTAGATTTTCACTTAGAATGTCATTTATGACAGAATTCTGGGTATAAGGAAAAGGTTATTATTATTCTGATGTACTAAACACTTTTAAAGCTTGTAATGCTCTAAATTAGTCATTATGTATTATGAGTTCTCTCTGGCACAGTGTGGACATGAATAAAGCACATAATATACAGCAGTTAACACTGAGGTGACGACTGAGCAAGCATCTTGTAGTCATTTACCCTCTATGTGGTCTTCAATGACTGATGTACAAATATTTAAAACTGCTTTTGACCCAACAGGTAAATGCAGGAAAACAACTACTGTATTTTTGGCCTGTGCTCAAGAGAGAACTCCCTGTTCTCTATTGTTAGACAAAATGTCATATTTCTGAAGAAATATGGAGCTTTATTTTTTTTCTGCCACAAACTCCACAGTCCCATTGTGATTTCTAATGATGATAAAAGTACATTGACTGCAACAAAAACGAACTAAGACTTTCAAATATGAAGATGGAAATGTGGTGTTTAATAGAAATTTGCGTTCATGTGCTACACATGCGCATGCCTTGCTTGCCACATAACATAATTTAGTAAAATCATGGGTTGCCTATTTTGGACAGTCATGAGTTGCGTATAGCATGCTGCCTCATGGGTACTTTTTAGGAAAGTGTGGATAATTGGGAAACATCACCAAATGTTTTACAGTTTCTATCAGTATTTGCTAATTCTAACATTTGCTAATTTTCAGCATCTTGTTCCGATTGTATGGACACTCACTTCTAATAAGAGAGTTCTTCCAGCACTAAAATTGAGATTGATTTTAAGTGCAGCTTATTTAAGACTTTTAAAAAGAACGATAAGCTTTAAAATTAGCTATTATATTCCTTATAATAGGTAATACAGACAGTACATTATTTTTAATTGCCAAAGGCAAACTTTCTGAAAACTTCAGCAGCATTTTAAAAGTCTGCAAAACAATGCTTTACTGCTAAATATATAGTTGTATTTAAATTACTTTTGTACTTACATTTTGCTGGAATTTATTAGTAAGTTTACATTAAACTTGACTTGACAGGTATAATTATTCTGTAACTTTTATCACAAACTTGTTTCCAACTTGCATTTATTGTATTATGGTTCTGTGAAATTAAGCTTTTTCATAACTGCTTTGATATTAATTCATTTTTGGTAGTATTATCTCATTGTAATTCTGCAAAATTTTACCATTATTTTCACGATCATATGAATTAATGTAGGATACTTTTAATCAAGTCTCATTCTGTGATTAATCTGTAAGACACTTTCCATTGTAACCTACTGTTTAGGAAGTGGTACTTCTGTCACTACTGTTCTTTCAATAGTTCTTAACTATACTGTATAACATTTTTAATCCTTGTTATTACTTTGTGCATTCTATGTTTATTTCTGTATATGTATGTGTATGTTTAATATACATCTATCTTGATTTCATGGGAGAGAACTGGTCTTACTTAGTACTAATATTACAAAAACAAACCTGAAATTCATCATTCATCATTATTTTTTTCTGCATCGTAAACTGAACTAACATTCTTTACTCAAAAGAGAAGCACCCTGTAACAGCGATACAGAAATTGTTTTGGGGATTTTTCAACATTCCTCACCTGATAATTTTGCAAAAGCACCCTGTAACAGTGATACAGAAATCATTTTTGGGATTTTTCAACACTCCTCACCTGATAATTTTGCAAAATTTATCACTATTTCAGCATACGAAATAATTCAAATATAAGAAAGCAACTTACATATAAATATCAAGTACATTTACCATGATGTAAACATAAACAGCAAAAGGGAAATTCTGTAAAATTAACAAACATAGTTAACAGCATACAGTTCAAATGTTACTCTATAATTAAGTATCAGTATTGAATTACAAACATTGAATTATTAGTAATAACTAAACTAATTAACTAAATGTTAGTGAACATGAAATATAAGAATAAAAATAAAAGTAAAAATAAAGGCATTAGTTCATTTTCAGTCTGATAGTTCAAGGGAGTATATATATTGCACAGGTCTCTTAAAGTCCCCTTTCTTAGTTTAACCTCCCGTGATCATACAAGACCATCATGTCCTTTAAAAACATGAATTATTCGACTTATATCCCAGAGGAATTTAGATTTAGCTGTTCCTCCAAGTAAAACTGTATCACCAATTTTAAGATTTTTCTTAGTTTCGGGTGTACCGAAGAAATGAGTTTTATTTTTATTTTATTTATTTATTTTTTTAAATCACAAAGATACTGAGTTTTCCATTTTTTCCAAAACTGTTTTATAAGTGTTGTCTGATATTCTTTTCATTTTATTTGACATTGTTGGAGAGCTATCTAGGGTCTCAGCAAAGTTGTATGGATATTCATCTTTATGTCTGATCAATAGAAAATCAACGGTTCAGGTTCATGTAAATCAGGGATGTCAAACTCATAGGTATACTTGGGCCAAACAAACAAGGTTTAACTTTAGGCGGGCCGGAAAAAAAAAAAAAAAAAAATCAATATTCATAGAAACATAGATTTATTTCGAATAATACAATAATAAACATATATATATATATTTATATAGAAAAGAACAAGAAAAATTTAATGTTTACGTCCTGATACTTGACATTTCTTCTCTGCTATTATCTTTCCTATTTCGGGAGAAATTTTGTTTGCAGTGATAACTTTCAACGCTGACCCAAGGTGAGCATCATTAATACGGTTTCTAATAGGAGGCTTATTATCTTTCATGACTGAAAATAACTGCTCGCACCAATAAGTGCTACCAAACATGGAAATAATTTCATATGCGAATTTTTAAGTATTTTCAAACCTGGCTGGTAAATATTTGTAAAATTCAGGCATGCCCACTTCAATGAATTTTGCTTTCAAATTTGAGTTGCATTAAATCTCGATCACCTCCATTTGCATATGGCTGGGTGCTGAGTCAATACTTATTGTACAATACTTAGTAATCTAACAACACTGAATAAATTATCGTTAATTACTTAGCAGTAAAAATTTCATTTTTTTCTTTGTCGATATGTTATTTTATTATTATATATTATTATTTGCCGATATATTGGCCGTGCTGCAAAAATATTTGTTGTGGGCCGCGAGTTTGACATCCTTGATGTAAATCATTATAAATGTAGGTCAAATCACGACTATTCACAATATTTTCTACTTACAGTCATAAATTCTTCAAAATTCAGTCGGGCTCTGCCTAATATTTTTTTCAACTGTTTCTTAATGCTTTTCATTAGGCATTCGTAAAAAGCTCCCCAACATGGATTTGTCAAGGTTTGAATTTCTTTAACCCTATTACAGACAAAAGGTTCCAGTTGCTAAAAGATCCTTTGATCCAATGCAATACGATTTACAAATCTGTCCGTAAATATATCTGTTGACAAATATGATTAAATAATTTAGTTAGATATTTTGCAATTCTAGCTGCTGTAACTGCTCCCAACAATTCTAATCGGGGTAATGTTAAGTTTTTAAGAGGAGATACTCTGGCC